ATGCTTCTGGGAAGTTGCTATTTCCCATAGCGTGATTGATGTTGTGGGGGGATTTTAATATTACCTGGTAATTATTACTTCCCATAACGAGCTTTGTAAAGATAGTATTATAATATTATCATGAAGCTATCACTTACCACAGCAAAACTGTTTGTGGGTTTGTTGGGTTTCGCTATCTGCGCTAGCCCTCCTGAATACTGAGGTGATAGACTAGAAAGAAGATAGCTGGTCAAAATCACCCACTGACAACTCTTGAGCTACTCTTTTACCAACGAATAGCAGGATTGATGGTAATATTATAACGCCCCGTGGCTGAAAGGGCGAGTATGTTCGGTGACGAGATTCGAACCCATGACCCGTATTTTGTGAGTCGAGTGCCCTAACCACCAAGCCATGCCCGTCATATAGTAAACTTAATAAAAGGGCTTAGAATATTACCAGGTGATAAACTGGGTGACATATCACTGAATAAAATGAATAGATTATTCTAATCTGGTAAACTGAGTGACATATCACTAAATAAAGTGAATGGACAGAGTGAATAAATCATACTAATATGGTACAATGGGTGACATATCAGTGGATAAAGTGAATGAACATGGTGAATAAATTATGCTAATATGGTAAACTGGGTGACATATCACTGAATTAATTATGCATGAAAATTGACTAAAGATTTAAATTTTAAACAATAAAACATTTCGTAAAGTATCTAAGTTTGAGTGCATGTCTGCTAAAGCAGTAATTTCAAAAGAAATTAAAATCCTTAATTTTATGGAATATTAATCAAAACATTATTATTAGATAGGTTAAATTAAGGCCTTCAATTCTGGAAAGGTTTTACGTTCCTGTCAGAATTGACTGCAATTTCGTAAGTTGTATTTGATAGTTTTCAAAATGAACTCATCAAAATTAAGTTCAAACTAACTGGGGACGCATAGCTTAAAGCATTAGTTTTAGGAATGATCAACTGTAAGATTAATTTATAGATAAATTATACGTAAACGATACTAGTTTAGGATCCCTTCCCCCACCCCAATAACAAAGGAAAAGAAGAAAAATCCTGGTTAAATATGGGACAGGGGATTTTTCCCCCAAAATAAACAAAAAATCCTGGTTAAATATGGTACAGGAAATCTCTCCCTCCCCTCCCCCCCCAAAAAAAAATCCTGGTTATATATATGGGATAGGGGATCCATCCTCCTCCCCTCCAAAAAAAAAAGAAGAAGAAAAATAAAACTATGGTTCAAGCAAAAGCTTTAGGAATAACTTAAAGGAATACTAGTAAGAAAGGTATCTGAAGAGGCAGAGCCTACACAGTATCGAAACTTAAAAGCTTAAAAGTTTGAACAGCTTTGGAAAGGTAGTTTATTCTAATAAAACAAAAAACAATGAAATAGACAAAAGAACAAAAACAAGACGATGTAAGTGTTTCATAAAATTTATCTCTTGAAGTTTTTGTCCCCACAATGGTCACTTACCTGTGTGAACATTGTGGTGAACTCCAAGATGTCTAGGTCAAAATATATAGTAATGGAAATACTTACGGAAATACAAGAGCGACACACGTACAGGAGACAAAAATTAAAAGGTACAAAACATTATCACAGAAAGCAGGAAATAAAAATAAATAAGATATACAATCCAAAAGTGTTTTGTATGCGAGCCCTTTGTTTTACACACGGCATTTACACCTTGTTTTTATACTGCCATACATTTGATTCCAAATGTTTTGTTTTACTCACAATTTATCAAAATCATCTGGTCATTTTCTGGGCAGGCCATGGTTGCGAGTGTTCCATCAGTCTCGTTACTGTCAAAATATTTCACCCCATTTTCTGTATGCTTAGGCTTAGGATTATTTTTTTGTTGAAAGACGAATCTCCACCCGAGTTTATGAAGGAATGGTATGACGTATCACAACCTACATGTGCTTGTCAGCATTCAATGTGCCATCTCTTTTATGTAGATCACCCACACGTTGGCTGAGACAGTTCCATATGTGTACTGCATCACTGTAGTTATTGTAAACTAACTATGATACCACTTGGTTTCCACTGTCGAGCAAACTGTCATTGAGTGTTTCAGAACAAATCGAATTTGAATTAATCTGTAAATATTACTCTTCTCAACCTTTTCTTTTTCCACTGTTTGTGGTCTGATGCTCATTTGGTTTGGTGACCTCTTCTCAGCAGAATTTTTCGAGCAGCTGACCTCCAATGAGACCACTTTATGCTGATGTTTATATTACAGTTTTCTATGAAACATTCACACACTTGTATGTACACAAAGGCTATTGGCAAGACTTGTAGTGGCCGTCGTTTTCTTGCAAAAAACATGACCCTGAAATACTTAACAATAATTTTAGAGGCTTTCTGTTTTCTACCTCGACCAGTTTCAAGTACCCTCATCAGTTTGGTTTGGTTTGTTTCGAATTTCACGCAAGGCTACACGAGGTCAATCTGCGCTAGCCGCCCCTAATTTAGCAATGAAAGACCAGAGAGAATGCAGCTAGTTATCGCTACCCACCACCAACTCTTGGGCTACTCTTTTACCAATGAATAGTGGGATTGATCGACACTTATAACACCCTCACAGCGACCCTCAGATTGCGAATCAAGCGCCTTAGCCATCTGGCCATGCCGGGCCTAATTTACTGTCAAAAATGAAACTGTCAAGCATGTTAAGTAGTTAACCCTGGGTCTTCAGGACTGCAGCCCAGAACGACAAAGACTAAGCCGCACTAGGCCTGTCGAAAGAGAAAATTTTTTGAAGCTATGACTGGACACAACGCTACTACTGGGAATAGTATGACTACATGTATTTTTATAAGTTTGGTACTGGTGTGACAGTTTCTGATTGGTTAGATGACAACCAATCACAGTGTAAACTATCAACAAGTAACTGTACTCTGGTGTAATTTATTTTTACTCAATAAGAAATGTTACTATTCCATAGTATTTGTCATTTATACTTTTTTTTCTCGCAATTTTCGTGATTATTTCCAATACTCTATTTATTTCAGAGAGAAACCTAGATTCTTATTCCAGAATGACGTAATACATTATCAAACACTCCTCCCTCAGACAGTGTCAATATTACGATGATTAGCTAACAATTATTACTTCTACAACGCCGATTTCGATACTCTATAGATCTCACTCCAAAGCCACAAATTATGTAAAATAATGTAGAAAACAATAACTCTATTTGTTTGATGTTTAAAATAATTTAATGATTTTATGTACTATTGTTTTAGACGAACTTTTATTTAAGATCACGAAACATTAACTACGGTATTTCCACTCGTAAATATTTGTTACCTGTTATAAATCACTTAGATACAAGTCTAGTTTGCCCATAAATCAGCCTAATTATTTTAAATTTTAAATTCTAAATAAAAAGCACAATCAAAAGAAACCATAAAGAAAGTCGGAATATAAAACAGGAACCCACGTGATTGATTAATAGGACGCAAACAGAATTAATGAAATGGGATAAATAGATGTAAGAACCTAGTTATATGATATAGAAAAAGTGAAGACGATAACGTTATTGCGTCAATGAGCTTAATTTCATTCTGACCAATGCTAGAAAACAACACATTGTTTTTACGGTGCGAGATCATGACGTAAGCGAGAACACCTAGAAATACACTGCTATATATATATAACTCGATACAAAGCTTTCATCGGCCTCTTAAGGTTTCTTGGGGAATATTTACCATGGTCTAAATGCACACTGGATATTCGCAGAAGATGTTGAAAAAATGTGACCGTTTACTTCTTTTTGTGAACCCTTGTCAACATTATCTGGATTGCAACTGTATTAAAGCTAGGGTCTTCTCACGAAACATTAATTCCAGTCTACTGAGGATATATACCTGTTCAAACTGTCGATAAGAGAGACCTTGTTCAGAGTTTTGATTCACTTTCAGAAGTCTTATTGGTAAGTAACAACTTCTTATAAAACTATGCTTGTTAGTATCACGTATAATTAACACTGAGTTAAGTAGTTTTCAATAAATACGCTATTTCCATAAAACGATTCACGTTCAGACAAAGTGTGCTGCCTATTAAACATACAAAAATTGCTCAAACTTCTGGATTTCACATTAGCAACGTAACCATAAATAATGTCAATATAAATATTATTGGAATATATTGTTATTATTTCATGGAGTTTTATTGTATGTTAACTAATATTAGGCTCAGTGCATGAAAAGTCAGATCTTTTATTGGTTTTGACTTTCAACGTTTGTCGTTTGCTTTCAGATCAGTCAAATTTGGTCCCTGTAAGATTATGGTTACAGATCACCCTAGTTAAAGTTGTAAGACTGCTATTACAAAACACCATAAGCTAAATATCCTTCCCTGGAAATTTGATGAAAACGTTTAGAGTATTTTGTAAGCCATCAACTGTAGCTCAGAGTACTGTACTTCATAACCTAGGTTATCACCAATAGTTTAATCTGTTTAAAGGAATTCAGAGCTACTAGTTGCAAGCCATCAATTGTTGCTGTGGTTACTGTACCACAGAAACTAGGATATCATCAGTAGGTTCATCTCTTTATGAACCGAATCCAGAGCTACTTATTGCAAATCATCAACTGTAGCTGAGAGTACTATACACCAGAACCTAGGTTATCACCAATAGGTTTATCTGTTTAAGAAAGTAATTCGGAGCTACTAGTTGCAAGCCATCAATTGTTGCAGTGATTTCTGTACCACAGAAACTAGTTTATCACCAATAGGTGCATCTGTTTATGAACAAAATTCGGAGCTAGTTGTTGCAAACCATCAACTGTTGCTCAGAGTACTGTCATTCAGTAATAGGTTTATCTGTTTATGACCAAAATTCGGAGCTACTTGTTACAAACCATCCAGTTGCTAAGAGTACTGTACACCAGAACCTAGGTTATCAACAATAGATTTTTCTGTTTATGAACTAAAAGTAAAACACAATAAGCAACACTAAATAAATTAAAAATAATTACTTACCTGTGTAAATGTTCTTCTTTTTTTTTGCGGATAAATTTACCTCATGCTCGTAAGACATTTACCATAACAAGACGAACAAGTAGAAACTTCTGGGTCTAATACATAATAAAATATGTGGGATGTGGAGTTCTGGCGTCACCAGCAGTCAAAGTTAATGGAAGCTGAAACAGTGTGTATAAACGGTGTACGAGAAGGTGCTGAAGAAGAAACTACCCTGTCAAACAAGCTGTTGCCGATGTTAGCTCTGACTGACTGGAGCTTATGTCTTTTTCTCAGTTACGTAATCTGGAGTAATCGATCCCTGAATGCTCTTGCGTCATCTCCAATCAGAGGAAGAAAGATACAGCGGTGTTGTTCACGTGATACTCGTGACCATCTTCGGTTACACCGCAACGAAAGTCCTGGATTGGCTGTTTATCAGTATAATGTCCGTCCATTATTAACAGCTGTTCATTAAATTACAGAGAGTGAAGCTCAAGTCAGTGAATTTTAGGTTGAAGTCTTTCTAGGTTGAAGTGCAATTTCAAAATTGTTATAAGCTCATCACGAAATGTAAAAAAAAAACAACAACTAAAGATACAAAGCAATCACAGTCAAATTGTGATTGAGATAATACAGTATGCTAAAGTCTTACATTTTTTGGCATTAACGTTAGATAAATACGTATCTGAACTCTAAAACAACAACATATTTCACTAAGCCTAAACAATGCCTATCCTTTATGACAGTAACTCGTGAGCCATTTACGGTAAAAAGGTTTTGTTGTTTCTCTAAATCATTAAGTTTAAACAGTGCTCAGCATTGTATCAACAACTCTAAGCATTTACGGACAAAAGCGTTATTGTTTCGTTAAATCAATAAACTTAAACAGTACTTTATTTTTACAATAGCGTTTCACGAACTACTTATAAACAAAGGTTTCATTGTTTCGTTAAATCATAAGCTTAAACAGTACTCATGCGCTACGAGAGCAACTCAAGAACTACTTGCAGACAGTTGAATTAGAGGAATTATTGTTTCGTAAATAACTACACCTAAACTGTACTTGCATGCTACGACAGCAGCTCACGAACTACTTTTAAACAGAGAAATATTGTTTCGTAATCATTACACCTAGACTATGCTTTCATATTACTACAACAACTCGCGTCTGAATTATCTTCATAACAATCTTAGCACAGATGTGTAGTTTAAACATGTTGTTTTCTATGAAGTTATTTGTAATATTCTCTATCAGAATAGCGTTATCGTTGCAGAAGAGTCATAGAAACATATAATAATTATTGACTTCCAAAAAAATGTTCTCTTTCGAAAGGCCTAGTGCAGCTTAGTCATTGTCGTTTTGAGTTACGGTCCTGAAGGCCCAGGGTTAACTACTGAACATGCTCGACACTTTCATTTTTGACAGTAAATCAGGCCCGGCATAGCCAGGTGGTTAGGGCGCTTGACTCGTAATGTGAGGGTCGCGGGTTCGACTCCCGATCCCACCAAACATGCTCGCCCTTTCAGCAGTAGGGGAATCATAATGTGACGTTCAATCCCACTATTCGTTGGTAAAAGAGTAGCCCAAAAGTTGGCGGTGGGTGGTGATAACTAGCTGCCTTCCCTCTAGTCTTTCACTGCTAAAGTAAGGACGGCTAGCACATATAACCCTGTGTAGCTTTGCGCTAAATAAAAAAACAAACAAACAAGAGAGTAAATCCTGCTATTCGGTTAATAGTAGCTTCTGTTTGGTTACCCTCTCCCTCTAGTAAGTAGTTTTAAATGAGGGATAGGTATGTCTAAACTTAAACCTTTGAACCTGAATGCTTAGCCTATGTGTCGCCATTGAAGTTAAAAATATCAACATATCATTTTTTACGTCGACATGATGGAAGAGAACACTAATGAAAAGACTGTTAAAAAGAAAAGCTAAACATCTGTGATAATATACTCTCAAAGGTAATGATAAAAAACGTATTTAAAAAACTACTAGTATTACAAGTGTGTATAAGAGCTCGTGCTAGCCATCCCATGATGATTCAGGGTGAATATTGAAAATTCGGGGTTCGAACACCCTAGCGGACACGGTACAGACAGACTATGTATATTTCACTTAAGCAAACAAATTAACGTCATGTTGTTCATACTAACTGTTGTCTCACATTTTTAGTGGTAATTATTCCTACCGATGCTTTTCATGTTTGTACAATACAGTGGTCAGCTATATACTTTAATTCCATTCTTAATGGCAGCACGACACACTTTAACATTGTGTTTAATAGCCCTACACCGAAAACTGCACAAGTTTGGTACGAGCTGTTAAACTGGTTTATTTCCTACTAATAACTGGTTGAAAGCTACTCTACTCAGAAGAAAATGGTTACTAACCTTGAGAAGGACACTCTAAAAAGTACTAATATTGCAGTGAAAGTCGAGATAATGAAATTTCTAAAGTCTTCGACAAAGAGGGGAAATCTCCTTATTACAAAGGAATGATTTCAATGTGTAGACTTTCCGCTCACTTCCCGCTTCCCACTTTTAGCCGGTAATATAACAAGGTAAATGTAAATATCTTCGATGTTTACAACTTAGTGAACTGATGAACTGAACTGAATAATTAATTAATTAATAATAATTAATTCATAAATACAATAACAGGAACTTTTACATTAAGCAACAATAACAAATCAGGAACACCTCCCCCCTTAACCATATTAATATTTTATCCACTTAATTTTACTAAAAAGCTGCCCCCCCGGTGGCACAATGGTATGTCTGCGGACTTATACCGCTAGAAACCGGGTTTCGATACCCGTGGTTGGCAGAGCACAGATAGCCCTTTATGCTTAACAACAAACAACAACGCCACCTAAAAACTTGTCCTCATCATCACGAATCTGTAACTTTCTCTGTAATTTAAATGTCTTTTCGAATGTAACTTGTACCTGATGATGACCTGATACTATGGATCGAAAATCAAAATCTGCCTACTGTAAAAGATGCTGTTATTGTACTTTGGAGTTAATCTTCAATGTTTACATTATATAAATGTTACAACAGAACTTTGGTGCACGTTCTTTATACGGTACTGTCGTATAAATATTGAATAGATATGTTGTAGATTTTCTAGTAGTTCATGAATTACATTCCATAAATCGTATTTAGATATATTTTTTAATCATATATATATATGTAATTATATTGATGACGTGTCATATATTGTATATATATTTTTGCCTTTTTATCCATACTGTTCTGAAGGTGGAGATATTTTTTATTTTGTTTGTAATTCTGCACAAAGCTGCACAATGGGCTATCTGTTCTCTGTTCACCACTGGTATCGAAACTCGGTTTCTAGCGTTGTGAGTCCGAAGACATACCGCTATGCCACTGGGGGGAGGGGGGCAGATGAAGAGAAGTACGTCTTCTACAGATATTAATCTGGAGAGTATTCTGTGCATTCTACAGGATGTGTGTCATTCTTTCTCCAGATATTCTGGATCGTCTCGAGTGCTTTCCATAAATGATCCTTTACATGTTTTCTCATTTACTCTAGAGGTAATAATGTGGATGGTACTTCTTGTATTTTACAGGTAACTATAGTTTTTTGTAATCTGTTTAATAATTTGGAAGGTATCTCCTTTATTTCGTTCATAAATATTAAATTGGTATTGATGTATTCTACAACTAACAGTCTTTAAGTCAGTAAACCCAAACCATACTACAGAGTTACAACAGCAACTAGCGAACTACTTAATAATAAATGTCTTATTGTTTCCTTAAATCATAAGAAGGGAACTCAATGTATTATGTTGATAATATAAAGATGATATGTTTTGTACTGTCACCATAATAATCTGGAGGTTTCTCTTGTTGGAAACATTTAGAAAATTTCTAATTAATTCTAAAGATAATCATTTAGATGGTGTTGAACAAATTCTCCGTTAAAGATACCTAAAAGATTACTTAAATGTCCATCTTAAGATAATCTCCGATATTCCGTTGCTAATCGCTTATTATGATAGAATATCACTTAAATGTTACGGATGATAACTTCAAGAGTAACTTATGAGAACTTGAGGGTATCTTGTGTATCCTGTAAATACTAATTTGGAACACTTTCGTGTATTATCCAGATAATATCAGTGCCTATTAAAGGCAGTCATTGGGGGAAACCATTTGTAAAGTATGCTTGTTTTTAATTTTACATACAATCTCAGGATAGAAGATACTTATCTAGAAGCCATCTCCCGGATTGTATAAGTTACACGGAACATTATTGTGGAAGTTATTTTGTGAATTGTATACACTGCTTGACTAAATCATTAAGACACCCACTTTTCCATGATAACAACTTGAACTATATGGGCTGCAGACTTCACATGGTTCCAAGTGTGTCTTGTCGATTGCTGTCCATCCATTAAAGAGTATGATGAAAAACTGATTCACGGATGCCAGTACAGGATTAATGTAAAGCTGATGAATGTACTGGCTAAGTGAGACTTCTGGTTAATGTGAGTGCAGTGGGTTGATAGATTGTCTTCTTGAGAAAGTCTGTCTGTCAGACTGGAAATGCTCTTAGCTTTTATTCGCCATCCTAAAAGATTTAATGAGCTTTTGCAAAGAGAACATTCCCCACACCAAAACGCCATCTCCAGCAGTTTTAACTATCAGAAAACTTCGTAGTGGTTTTTGCATAGCTTCACTCTACCCTTAGAACATAACAGAGTGAAATGCGTCTCAAAAATCACATCATATGCTTCCAGTTATTAAATGTCCACATTTTGAGCTATAAACACCATAGAAGCCGTGATTTCCTGTTAGTGGGATTCTTGAAAAATGAATTTCATAAACAATCATCCTAAATAATACCTCGTAAGTTCTAGAGATTTTCCCCCAGAAAGTTTCACTCAATTAAATATGTATATTCGTTAAAAAAATAACTGAAATAACAAATTAATTGGCAAAAGCGTTTTAAAGAGGATTCATTCAAGTATATGAACATTATAAGTATATAAAGTTTGTTTGTTTGTAATTAAGCACAAAGCTGCACAATGGGCTCTCTGTGCTCTGCCCACCACGAGTATCAAAACCCGGATTCTAGCGTTGTAAGTCCGCAGACATACCGCTGTGCCACTGGGGAGCAACATTATAAAGCCTGGTACGCCAATTTTATAAGTTGGATTTTAAAAATATTACCTCAGTTTTTATATGCTATCCATGAACAGTGGATAATAAAGACCCTTCAGTAAAA